AACATGCATGTTCTAAACAGAAACTTAAGGTACCACAACTGATACAATACATTATCCATAGCCTCAGAGAATAGAGTGAGTGGATTGGGTGTATTGCTGCTTTGAACTGTGTTTTCAGTTATATCACGGTGTGTCAGCTTAATATGGGAAGAAAGCCTGCATTGATGCAGGTCTTAGATGCAACAAATTGAAACCCAGGAGTAGGGCTATGTGCTGACAAGTCACGAATCATGATCGGAGCGATTCTGGGATTCGAACCTACCACCACGAGAATTGTTCAAATGCAATTCCCCCCAAAGTTGGTAGTGAGAACAAGTGTTTCATGTTTCGTGGCAGAAGAGACCGCAATCAAGAATGCTTGTGTTCTGCATGATATAATTATCTTTATCTTAATATTATATAACTCGCTGATAAAACATACAGGATGGGGCTTATGGATACATAGTGAAACTCGTTCGTGTACAGACACTGTCATTCCTGAAAATCCACGTTTCAGTAGATTGCTGCCAATGCGTAAATGTCTATGAAATGAAATATTTCTGTACCAAAGATTCGTTAATCTTGACATTTAAGATTTAGTGGGGAATGCTACCGTCCAAATAAGTCGTTGCACTGCACATGTTGAGGTAACAGGATTGGGTGAAATGAAATGCAATAAACACACGCCACATCACGTGAGTGGTATACAGATCGGAGCGTTGTAACCTGAGAAAACAAAATATAAATGAAGGGAGCACAACTTCTGGTCAATAGCAGACATACCAGCTCACAAACAATTGACTTGTTTGTGTAGGTTTTGTCGAATCCAGTTGCTCTCCTAGCAAGTGAAGTAGTCCGAGTTATGATCACAAGAATGATGTCCTCCAAGCCATTCAAATTACAAGAACAGAGATTGTATATACTAGTACGTGTATTAAGTCAACATCGACATGATACACTTAATCTACATGTGCATGTTTAATATCTTCGAGGGTTGAAATAAAAGTTCGCAGGCTCAAATATAAGAAATTGCGTAAAAGTGAAATTTACGACATAAACACGAGTCAGTTGAAATAAACCTAATCAAGCGAGTCCTATCTGATCTAAGTTCGTCGTTTGTTATACTTTCACTCAATTAAAGTCACCCTCAGTCACATTCCAAATAATAAATCATGTAGATGACAGGCAATGCTGAGATACAACCTTTCTATGAAGCCAGGATAACATAAGTGATAAGGGACACACATCACAGTACAAGGTCTAAATATTTGTCAAGTGATAACAAACAAATAAAACGGCAAAACCCTGTCCATATCCAATACAAAACAAATTTCAATAAAGCAGGGTCGATTGTACGACTCTGACTATATAATGCGTATATGTTTATTAATCACTATCGAATAGTGATGATGCTAGGTGTTCGCGAAAAGGTGAGCAAATCCTACCCCACTTGTGTCATCTGTCACAAACACATGCAAAGACAAGCGAATTGTTAGCCTGAAAAAAAAATGGACCATATGGTACAAGTCAAAATAGGTAATTTTTCAGTGGAAAGCTCCCGAAGAGATGAATTCATCCGATGTTTGTCCCAATATGCATTCACGGAAATTTGCCCACAAATAGGCTTAGAAATTGCATTACTGCAGGAAATGCTGGCATATTCACATGTTTTCCACAAATAGCACTTTATTTGTAATATGTACTTCAGCAGAAATATCACCCTGAAGTCATTTTGTTTAAACAATCTGCTTTTGTGTTGAAACGTTAGACTCTTTGGTAAATCAGTACATTTAGAGAAAATCCTATACACTTACAGATGAGGGAATGATATAAAGATTGCCAACAAATCATTTCATACAATAAAAATTCTTGAAAGGCCCGATGAGCAACAAACGAAAAACAATTAATTGTCCTCACATTACCTGTTTTGATATATATATATTCGCTTGACATAATTCATTTGTAATCCAGATCAAGTAAACCATTTTGTAGACATCGCATAGCAAATAATGACGATGAAAACCTGTGGATTCCTTCTCGAAATAGAATAAACTTTGCTTGCTTGTTTGTTGTTTAAGGCCACAGCCTGGAAATAATCGTGTCTGGAGCCGACAATCCGGTGATTGGTGATATGTAAGGATCCACGCAGTCGGGATAGGATGACAACGGTCAACACATCACCATCTCTTACAACAAGCAACAGTTCTAACCCGGAATATCCACGCGGCCGGGGATCGAACCCCGGACCTTCCGCTCTCCGGGCGGACGCTCTACCACTTGACCACGGAGGCGGTCCTGACTGAATAGAGAGTGACATAGATCAGTATCATATATATTTGACTAAAACGTGATGCCTTGCAATTAATGAAAATTCGTAAAGAGTTTAGACGTCAAATTAAACATCAAGACGAATTTTATAACTGTTTATGATCTACAACAAGACTCAAAATATACTGATTCCTGTCAAGCGGAAACATTTCTCTGGATAATAATGAAATGTATTACTCAGTTTTATCAAATAAGAACGAGAACGAGTGTGGTGGTTTGTATTTACTATCAACATTATATCCCTACATTTTCCTGAATGATTTACTTCTTCATATTGATTTATTTAATCATGTAGATCTGTAATTACCACAGCAATAAATCAAGCATGACTTAACACTTGAAAATAGGGCTACCCGGACCCGTGGTTAGTCACGTGATATACTGTTGAATGAGAAAAATGATCACTACTATAACTCCATGGTTACCTACAAATCGTTAAAAATGTTCGGATATTTTTCTGATTTTTGCCATATTCCTCCTGACTTTTATGCGTTTTGAGTAATGATACAGCTTCTGTCGACTCTAGTGTATGCATGACCAAATCGTTTTATAGGTGTATTTAAATACTTTTTACAAGGGGTACGGTAAAACAATCCTGATCGGACATTTTGTACCCAACTCTTGAGACCTACAGTGGGTGTCCGGGTAGGGTCGGGTAATAGGGGGTCGGGTACCCGGCTAGTACATTTGGACTCGTCCCAGCCCTACTTGAAAAAAACAAATAATATCATCACAAATTATATATTTTCATGGCATGGGGATAAATATTTTTGACGGGAGGAAAATCTCAGATATAATAGTGTATATACAAGTATACACACACACAGTCGAGGAGGAAATATTAATCCCACAACGAGGAAAACCTGTCAGAGGTGCATCGACTGATTGTGAAGGTTTTCACTTCCGCATTCCTTTAATGTGTCGACTGCTACTTCGTGTCACTCCGACCTGCATACCCTTAATACAACAATCACCTTGGAAACCACGCATGAAATAGATTAGAAAAGATGAGGATATATCCGTCTGCGAGTTTGATAAATGACCCATTCATATGCTTTTCGCCGCTCTTTTGCCATTTCAGCCAAATGGTATCTGCTTCGCCGGATAATCGAGACTGGTTATTCTCTGGCGTTGACGTTAGATATGTACTTGATAAAAGGTCGATCCCTGAAAATAAGAGGCTGGTCTGTGTGGTGTGTAGAGGACACCTCCTGTGGCCTTAAAAGGCAAGCGCACGTTGGTATTGTAGGGAGGGAGTGGGATAACAGCATGGGATAAGAGAGCACAAAGGGCTTCCCGTGTGCAACAGCACATGACGTTATCGACTCCCCGATAAAGAGGTGTACGGTTTGATGAGGGTCCCAATTTGATTTAAACATATTTTATTGCGGAAAATCAAATACATTTCGTTACATTGTGGTATGTGAATTCTGTGGTGCAGAATAAATGTACAGTGCATAGGGATGTAATGCACCCCGATTTGCAGTGCAGAGTAGCATCCTTTAGCCGTGTCATGGACCCGCTTGTCCACTATTTTCCCAGTGTTTGATCCTTCATCGATCTGCACCATGTCGTCCTCGTGGGTTTTCATCCAAGTAACCATGACTTGCATGATTTATGATTTCGCAGGCATCACAGTTGCGACCATTAAATGTTGCAGAAACCAACGGTCATGGGTTCAAATCCCACATTCGCCCTGATTATGTTTCCAGGTTTGTCAGCACCATATCCTTGATCCTTGGGTTGCAGTTCCGGTTTTCAAGGGAACTGCAATACTGGTCGAAGTGGCGTTAAACTAACTCACTCAACCGCTTATCTTAAATGGAGCCGACACGCCATTATGCACCTTAAATATAATCGTGATACCAAATCGATTCACTTATGGATAAAACAGCTACTCAAGTACTAAATACAATGACTGATCCCATGCAAACACTCTTCGAATGAGTGAGTGAGTGATAGAGTATGGTTTAACGCCGCTTTTAGCAATATTCCAGCAATATCACGGCGGGGGACACCAGAAATGGGCCACACACATTGTACCCATGTCTGGAATCGAACCCGGGTCTTCGGCGTGACGAGCGAACGCTTTAACCACCAGGCTACCCGACCGCACCCTCTTCGAATGTCACTTAGGAGTCCAGACAGAGAGTTAGGTTTCCGCTTCTGAATGCAAGATTACACACCAGACATCAGTTTTATACTTTGTTTTGACGAATTGTAAAACATTACTATATTGTCTACTTAAGGACAAGGCGGCATGGGTGGCCCAGTCGTCTAATGCCTCGCGATTTGCTGTGTAGAGATGCGTCCCTTGGGCATGCCAGAAACCTATGATTGTAGGTTCGAATCCCTGTTCGCCCCGATTATGTTTCTAGGTTTGTACCCTATCCCTATCGTGCTCGTAGGTTTTACCGAAGTGGTAAACGTCTGAGACCAGCATCACTTCGGTCTTTCCTCCCACATTAAGCTGACACGCCGTGATATAACTGGAATACTGTTAAAAGCGGCGTTAAATCCATCTCACTCACTCACTAACTCAAGTCACAATAAGATTTGAATGACGTCAACAATGCCATCCGGATGACGAAAACAATACACTGTTATCTCGTGACATGATATGACCCTAGGGCACAATTTGATTTTTATGAATCCCCATAGGTTTGCCCTCGTAGGTAATAAATACATTTACGCATCTGTTTACATTTTATTTACATCACTGGAATATGACATGATAAAATAATGATAGTAAATAAATACGTACATTTATCAACATACAGAACACTCGACCAGTCGACTTGGCACCACCGTGTGCTGAATACATGTTGTTCTCAAAAGAGGAATTGTGGCATTATCGACATAATTTATCCGCCTGGTTAAACCTGGTCATTTACTAGAGGATGGACACCTTGAAGTTCGAGACAACGGGTTTAGAATGTAGTTACTGCATATCAAATTATTTCATAGCGATACAGAAAGAAAAGGCAGAGACAGCAGCAAGCATGGCCTAAGTTTAAAATGGCGAGGTAATCTAAGATTGACATTTTGTATTGTGCATTTCTGCAAACCTCATTGTTGGATGTAGACCAAGTGCTGCACAAGTACAACAATTCTTAGAAACCCTACATTTTTAAGAACTCATATCAATGTGTATCGAGAGCCAAGTTGTTAAAACCAATTCTGTTGAAAGTAGAGCTGTGTTCGGATTGTATGGGCACTGTAGGAATGTACTTTTGAAACTATTCGTGCAGATCAAATGAAAATACTATAAAAACACTTGTATGGGGATTCAAAATTCTACTCACTCACAGCAGGACACATTGTCATAAAGAAACAGACAATTCAGTGAACTTAACTACCCAGCTGTACACCAGGACCGCCATGTAATGTATCTGTCAATTTCAAATCAACACTATTCATGTGGGTATTTAAAATTGTTATTTTACAGATTGGAAGCGAAATATGTCCATGTGTCCATGATTGTAAAACGTTTTACTCAGTTGCGTGTTGTAACATTTCCCAGAAATGTGTGAAATGTTCATAAACTGATCAGGTACTATATATTAATAATCATAACAATACTCATGTATGGATGTAAAATGTTTCTAATACACAACAGAAACCAGTCATGTAGGAAAACAACACCTTTAGCTAACCTTGTTACATGGTCGTACACAACAAACAACACATGAACAGGCTACTTCTACGTCCTCCTCTTCACTATTGTATTGTATTTGACAGTTTAGTAGATATGTCATGTTTACAAGTTTACACAGTGCCATGTTCAGTTCATTCCTTAGGCCAGGGCTTCATTGATGAGTGATCTTTTTGTGTCAGTCATGACGATCTCCTCCCCGCTAATCAACTTCATGTTTACTGTGAAGGCAATTGGCGAACTAATACCAAACACAGGGAGAAGAGCCTCACGAAACTCTACATTAGCTTTTGCCAAAACAACCTCCCTGTCCAGGTCGATAAAGGCGAGTCTACCCCTCCCAACATCCAGCACAACTCCATAGTGGAGGGTGGCCAGTGTGCCGGGTGTGTAAGACTTTGTGTTACTGTAACACTTCCCCTCCTCCCCCTGCTGCCACACCCTGGTACAGATACTCCCCAAGTGTGTGGTGCAGCTCCTTACACTGACACACCAGGAGCGGCGCTGTTGACAAGCATACCACCCACTGTCCACCTGGCTCTCCTCCACTACACCCATCTCCAGGACAGGCATCCCATACAATGTCCTCACCACACCCACCCTGGAGTAGGTTTCCCAGTATCGTGGTGTGTTGGGGGAAGGGGTGACACTGGAGGGGGATGAATCAAGTGGGATGGGGGTGGAGGTACACGTGCCGAAATACTTCTGCAGCCTGCGCCTGTCACGTGACCGTGTGTCGGGCAGCGAGTTGACCAGCTCACCGTCTGTCGTTACATGGCACACGTCTGTGTTGGCTCGAACAGCGTCCAGTTGGAGTTTAGGGCCTGGAAATAGATTTTATTTGTTACTACAATGAATCATTTTGTTTATGAGTTTTGTTTCAATGATTCCAAAAAGCGCTATAATTTATCGGCTGCCATTTTCATCTGCCTACGAATTTAATGATAACTGTACTTTTAATTTAAATAATAACGCTGTGAAACAAATACACGCTTTTTAGATATCTTTTTACAAAGTTGCATTTGACCTACTTTGCTGTGACTAATAGACCCCAACTGCCGAATTATGTAAATGTTTCAAAGTTATTTCACGATTAAACTATCATTGTAGGGATTCTAAACTCTAATTATACATAATTGTAAAGACCGAGATAGACAAAAGTGTTGTTTCGTGATATCTTTACATTTGAGTGTTCAACAGACACAGTGGTAACTTCTACGTCCTCTTCAGTCACTGAATACAGTTTAAGCGCACTCGCTGGGCGGGGAGATTTTCACGTCAAGTGTATTGACTGGGATAAGTATTTGTGAATGATTTGTATAAACAGTTATATTATTATTATGACATTGCATAACGTATCCATTGTTGACGGACAATCCCGGACTAATTCACACTACTTCCATCTGGTGTGTGATAATTGTGACTTACATTCATCTCAAACCTACCTTATCCTGCTGCTGAAGTCATCAAACCCGGCCCAAAGTTTCACAAATATGGAAGAGATTAAAATTTAAATACGGGCTACTCCCTTTTCCCCAATCGATGTGTGTTCAAATAATTAAATGGAATTTTAAGATCGGTAAACATTTTTGATTATTGATTAACCAAAATATCAATTCTTGTCAAAATTCCTCAGTAAACATGGACATGATTCTCTACCTTTTATTTATGAAATCTCATTCTTATTTTGGCCAAAAACACAGCTGTTATTAAGAAATAGACGATTACTATGTTATCAGAGGCACTTACACATGTTTCACATCAACAACCTTTCACCACCCAAGAAATCACCATCAAAGTTACATGTATATTTGTTTTTGTACATTGAGTGAGTGAGTGAGTAAGTATGGTTTTACGCCGCTTTTAGCAATATTCCAACAATATCATGGCGGGGGACACCAGACATGGGTTTCACAAATTGTACCCATGTCGGGAATCGAACCCGGTCTTCGGCGTGACGAGCGAATGTATGTACATAGTAAATGTGATTCACATGAGTGAATATTGTAAATACACCACTTTTAGCAATATTCCAGCAATATCACGGTGAGGGACTCCAGAAATGTAATTCACATACACATTGCACACATGTGGGGAATTGAAACCCTCATCTTTGACGCGATGATCAAACTGGCCTACCTCACCGCTATATGAGGTGCTTCTATAAAAAAGCTGAACTTTTACAAGTGTTACATATGCATATGTGGTGGCAGACTAAAAAAAATTAATTAAAACAAACACACACAAGGAGTAAACGCAAATTGGCTAGGACAGCATGGCTATGTGATAGCACCTCAAACAATAAAAATCAATAAAAAAATCAAAGAAGTGCAAAGGTCAAGTTGGCTGGTTGGCTAACACCGTCGTAACTGGAAATGGCTGCACAAATGGGAAGTAATGCCTTGTCAATTATATGATTTTTTAGCCTTTGTTTTGACATCCTAAATTTCCCCGATAATGTCGAGGTCATGATAGATCAGCTCCAGCTTATGACGTTTACATTTCCCGGTTGTTTGGGGACTGAAGTGAGAATGTCAGATTTTGTGGAAAGACACATTGCGTTTACATCTAATCTTTTTTATCAAGGACTAACCCTCACAGGCCTGGTCAAGACAATTCAGATATCCAATGATAGACGTTCAGAGGAATTTACCAAATATGACCCGCTAATTGTCGAAAGATGCGCGACGCTGTTTCGTACTATGACCTCTATAGGGAGTGTTGACACATCCCCACACACTGACATTCACCTGACTAGATAGGTTGGTCATGCTTGGGGACGTGGACGTCGTACCCCGATAGCGTGGGTCATTGTTCATGATACTGATCACTGGATTGTCTGGGCAGGACTCAATTGTTAACAGGCCGCATTCGTATGGGAGGAGTATTGTTGGGTGCGGCGTTAGGAAAAACACAAAAACATGTAATTCTTGTAAAAATTGCCGGGTGCCTCTGGTAGAGCAGGACGTCCATTTTTGCAGACACTTGGTGTCATCAACTAATTTACAGTGATTCGGTCACATACTTTTTCATCACTATCTTGCCTTTACTGCCGTATATAATATGTTTCTGTAGATAATCGAGTCTGAATATTCTCATAACGATTTGAATTGTATGCTTGAAGCCTATTTCTTTAAGCAAGTAAGTGAAAATGGTTTTACACCGCTTGGAAGTATTCAAGCAATAACACAACTGGGAACACCAGACATGGCCACACACAGTGAACCTGCATGGACACTTGACACAGAATGTGGGTGAACCTGATTGCAGTTTTTCGCTCAGCCGATATAAACAATATTTGTGAGCTCATTGTCTTTTTCATCATACACCATTGATTTGTGCTACATATCAATGTTTTCTTGTGTTTCATCCAGCTCACCTCCTGCTGTTCTACATTACAGCTTTCTACCGTTCTGGAAGATGCTCCCACAGAAAACATACATGTATGAGAACACCCATACGATTGCAAAACTGGAAAGTCAAACTGCTAGAGTGGTAGTGGAGTAGCCTTGGGTTTAAAGAGTTACCTTGTTCACGCTGGGTTTGACTCCCAACAAGGGTCGAATGTGTGAAGCCCATTCCATGTGTTCTCAGCCATGATTAATCCCTTATACCTCACTACAACTGCAGGAGGTACAAGCTTCCAGCACGTGACTTGTTTTGATCCCTTTAGTATGAATCTTTTCTTTTACATTTACATGTTCCGTTTACGTCATGGACGTCTGGTCATTATAAAGTCGCATCCAGCACACCGGTGATTGATAACACGTACTACGATCAACGCCGGTAACACATGATGGTAATACAGGATATACATTGTAAGCAACTGACTTTTTAAGTGGTTTTGTATGCTAGAATCTATTGCTTAACCCAATTGCCTAATAAACATGAACTACTAAAAATAAATACTTACAGGTGATGAATATGACACTTCTGTTCTTGCTGATGATGTGAATTGCACCTGAGTACCCTGAAAAATATAGTTTTCATTGTAATACATGATTTTGGCACATTTGTTTCTGAAGACTGTTCTCACAGATGACAAGCATTGTAAAATGTGAGTGAGTCTTACACTGATCAAACACACATATGGTTCTTTGAAGCCAAAACCATGATCTGGTCGAATTTAGGATTTGAATCCATGATACTAAGTTCAGAGGATCATCGCACGAATAAGGGGTGCAAATGTACACAAGCAAATGTCGACATGGGCAGCACATGCCCCAACATCAGATGGGAAGCACACAAGTGAAGCTAGTTACCTCATTTTGCCTTTTATTGTGCAGTGAACTACATTAACTGATCTAGATAAAACTTCCTAATAACTATATATTTTCTGACATGCCAGAAGCAACGATTTTAAAGTGTAACATGTATAATGAATATTATCCAAACAAAGGAGGTCATGCATTTCCGAGGCCTCGCCGTATCATTACATGTTATCATTCGAAAATAGCAAGGACGTTTGATGTAACTAGTTGTGGTATGTGGCGTACAGTATCGCTGACTAAACAGGTGGAACTGTTTGCTATACATAACTGCTATGGGTCATGTATCCGTTACCTGGAAATCTAGTAAACTGGTGACATCTTAAAACTTGACAGTAACTCTGACATTCGAGATATAGTTTTGACTAAATAACTAAATCCCATATCGTGTAGTACATACCTCTCAATAATAAACCACGTGTAGGCGACTCAGAAATGATGGATGCTCCGAGTATGAACTGAAAACATATTATTAATAAGCTTGACACATTATGTAAGTTCTATGTATAAATCTAAATACGTTTCTTGGCTAGACAATTTTGAATGATTTCCTTTTCTTCTATACTTCGCAGTTTACATTTTGAGGGGGTGGGGGTTGTTTGTCATTTAACGTACACGTGTGACAACTTCATAAACTTCCTGTGTTGTCAGCTGTTGAGGTCGGCGTTCCTGTGGTGTCAGCTGTTCAGGTTGGAGTCCCTGTGATCCATCTCCACTTGTATCAGAACCTGTTTGTAGATAAATGTATTGGATTTCAATAATTAATCTAACTAAAGTCTTATTATTTACTGCTTTTATATAAACAGAAAGTGAATCTTACATCAATGCACTGAATACATTGGTATACTCTATTAAAGTATGAAGGTTAGTGTAGTTCATTTGGTATTTAATTTGCTTTTCCTGACCTACATCCAGGTGTTATATTGTACCTGTGATGCGACGGATCATCTCCCCAAGCCGATGCCAGCGCCCTTCATGTACCTGAAACAACATCGTTGACCCAATAGAGATCAGAACATAACCTTTGGCTCACACAATAGCTATGTATCCTATCATACCACATATATTATTTATTTATCGACTGCATGTAACATGGGTGTTATGAACGATGTGCAGCTTCATGTTGATTAACATATGTTTTACTCACAATTTGAGCCATGTATGTACTCAATGTAAAGAGCCATTGAAACCCTTTCTTAGAAAACATGTTAATAAAAACAAAATTCTGTTACGAAAGCAATACATTACCGCACTGGTTTCTTCTTCTTTTAATGCTAGGTGTTTATTCTGTTTATGGAGATCTGAAGAGAAAATGACAAACACAGATTGATTACCTTATTGGTAACAGTTTTCCTCTTACCAATCGTACATACGGACGGACGTTCGTCTACATTAAAACTGGGCCAAGGTACATGGAATAGCAAGATACTTTTGAATCGATTAATAATGGTATTAAGGCATTAAAGATAAGATAACTTAAAGTATACCCAAAACAATTAGCTTTGATATAGGATATTGTTCCTAAAGTCCACGATCAGTGTTCCGATATTGAAGAAGCATTCTTACCCTGTAAAGTAGGCTGTTTATCTGGAATATGATCCAAGTCAAGACTGGAGGCAAGACCACCAAATGTGTCGATTAGTTCCATAAGGGCTTTCTGTCCTTGAAAGGAAAGAAGGACTCTCGTGTCTTGTGTGTCATCTTCTGGAAGCTTCCTCTTCAGATTTTCATCAGATTTCTTCTGTAGTACACCGGTGAGAGTAATGCGCTCCTCCTGTCTTGTGGATTCAAGTGTTCTCTGGGTGTAGTCTGTCGTTGATACTATTGAAGTATGGACGTCATGTAAAGTGTCCAGCTTCTCTTTAACCATTTCATTTGGGGCCTGAAGGCACGCATGAATGTCCTTCATGAGTTGTCTCTGCCGGTGAAGGAACCGTACAGCAACACTTTGGAAGACTGTAGTGGCATCTTGTTCCAGCTTTCTCTGTTTATTTCCCAGTTCGTTTTGGTGACTGTTGACAGTTTTCATTCTGACTGTGATATCTTTCAGTTTAAGTCGTTGCTTCTGCACCTGCTCCTGCAGCTGACCCTTTGCTTCCACATAGGCATGATTCAAGTCTTCATTCTCGTGACCCTTGTGGGCCCCTCGATCACATACAAGGCAGATTGCCTGCTTACATGTGTGGTCATACAGCTGCGGCTTGTTGTCAGGATGGTCTCTGCAGTTAGGTTCTTTCATCCACTGCTTCATGGGGATATTCTCCGCCTGGTTGATCTCAATCACGCTGTGGTTTTGATTCGGTTTCAGTGGTTCGTGTATTTTATGACAGTCGGAACAGAGCAGGCTAGCACATTCGTGACAGTACATCACAGCCTTTGCATCATGATCTCCTTCGATGTAGTTACATTTCTTCTCTCCATCAACGTTAGCGGTATAGGCAGCTTCGTTGCGTCTGACATGATCCACTGCTGTCTGCTCCATGTTGAACTCACAGCCACAGGAGGGACACTGTATGCAATTCTGCTTGGCTTGGGTGTCTTGGTGATCAATGCATGGCTTGCATGCAGAATGAAGGCATGGAAGAAGGCAAAGCTGACTCCCATCACAACAGGACTTAGTTGAAAACTGACACATTCGCTCAGTCGATTCTGAGGAAAAACAAGTGACACGATCAGTTTAAAGCTTAAAGGAACTGATTCATCAGACATATTTAATCAGGCTCTTACTTACCGTGTGATTGTATTTTTGTTCATAAGTTACATATATAAGATTGAGTGTCACTTTGTTTAATGCACCTGCTTGATGGACTTCCTCTCTAACATGTACCCTGTCTGGGGACTGTGACCTGGGAACCCCCAATAAAGCATCATATGCCTCCTGTTCCTCTTGTAGTCTCTGAAACGACAGTTATCACTGCATCACAGACATGTATCTTGTTATCAAGATATTACGTGTTAATTTATTTCCATTTAGTTTAGAAGTTGTGCAAAATAACACTTTAAACATATAAGTTGATCCCATTCTCACCTTCTCCAATGTTTCACATTTTGCTCGAATCTGCAGCAATTCATCATTTGCCTTTGACAATTTTGTTTTTACTGAAACAAGAAAAATGCATGGATATCCTCAGATAACAGTTTTATGTGTCAACATTCCGGACATTGCATAGCATTTGTCCATTGAAACTATAGAATTACTATATTTCAGAAATGATACAATGTAGTTGTTTATCATAGACAGGCCGTTGGAAACCAGGATGTTCCATTACCACCGTGAACACTGGCAAAATATGAACACACAATGCCATTTAGCAAGTGTTCAAATGTTTTATTTGGTATAACTCTTTCTTAGTTTAGTACAGATTATCGTATTTTTTTAAGTTGAGTCCTATCCGGCAGTGACAGTGTGGGTTCGAATCCTGGATGGGACTCAACCTAAAAGAGTATGAGAATCTGTACTTTTCTAAGAATGTGTTACCCCAAATATATAACATTTGTTACATTTGACCACTTTCTAAATGTCATTGTGTGTTCATTGATTTCAGCCATGGGAGCCGTGCGAATTTACGCTTGTCGGAGGGGTGCAAAAAGTACGTGATCTAGGCTACCAGTTGTCGGACCATTTTTTCGAAGCCTCGACAGCTGAGTGGGTATGATCGCGGACTTTGAGTGACGGCGATTAGGTGCCTCACTCTGGCAGTATGGGACTCAACCTAAACAAGTACGAGAGTCTGTACTTTACTCCAAAAGTGTTATCCCAAATATAACATTTGTTACTGGCAAAATAGGCAAAATCAAAATTGTGGATAGAAGCGATATTTAACTATATATTATTAATGTCACATTACGAGCTTCAACTTCCTCATTCTTCTTTTCTATCTGTGTTGTGAGATCCCCTCTTTCTTGTATCAGTTGTTCTTCAAGTTCGGCATGGTCTGTGTCTTTTTGTTTAACTTGTTCCTCAAGTCTTTCCATTGCCTAAAAACAAACGCGAATGACCGTTTAAGAAGTAAATATCGACTGCTTATACATGTAGCAGTTTATGTCATTTTTTACATGTAAAATTCCTTTTTGATCTAAACTTCAACGTTGGTGTAAATGCACTTTTAATAATCACTACCATTGTTAAAATCATATACATCTAAATATATATCTCTTCTCAAAACAAGGGAGCTCTTAACATAATAAATGGCGAGCTTGTGCCGTCTCTCCACAACGTACAGAGTGCATGTCAGCTATTTGCCCATCTTTTTCAGCAAGTTGTTTTTTGTGGTGAGCTTCCAGCTTTTCCTTGTTGATATAGACGAGATCTGAACTACCTGAAAATATAATATTGCGAAAACTAGATTTAAAAGACTGTTAACACATATCTTCTGAAAAGAATACAATTTAAAGTTGATATTGTTTGGAATAATTCCTTGCCTGTCGACTTTTGCTATTTATGTTATAAGAATACTTATCCTGGCACAATATATTTCCATTTGATCATATAAAATAAAAGCCAAAGCATGCCACTTCTACATTGGAACACACGTTGCCGTTGGTTACCAAGCAGAGTCCTTGATACTCAACTGTATTCTCATCAGCATGTGGTTTGGTAATTAGGCCTGGGACAGAGACTTCTTGTGACAATGTAAGGATACTAATATCTCGAATAACCAAATTCATGTCGCATACATATTGACACAACATTTTGCAACGCTTGAAAGCTATTTCTGCAGCTTGTCGTTTTGCTAACAATCTCTGGAACACGTGTGTATAAGAATATGCTGCCCCCTGTCACATCCTCAACTCTAACATGTAAATCGATGCTTCATGGTCGAGCAGCGCGGCTTATAATACGTGAGTCCCATAGAATCGGAGACCAACAATCCCTCTGAATAGTTACTGTGACACAATGTGATACAAAGAATATCTGGAAAACAATGGCGTTTGATGACAAAATCCCACATTAGGTCCATATGAGGCTTCTGGTCATTGTCAAACTTAAGTTAAGTTCATGCATGCATTGCAGAGTTGCCTTTCCCAGGGTGGTTCCCAGGGACCCGTTCACCAAAGCGATCTTAGCGCTACGACTGTCGCAAGTCAGTGTTAAAGAATGGGAGTTACGATCAACTTAGCGCTAACATCACTTTGTGGAACGGGGCCCAGGATTCCTGTGATCTTTCTAGTTCTGGAACCATAGTCTCCTGAGCCAATAAGACACAATGGAAAGACGTTGGCACTAGTTTTAGTCAACGTCAGCAGTACTCTAAGTGGTAGTGTTGGTGTCGAAAAAATGAAGGTGGCATTGTATTGCAGCGTATGGCCAGTGGATCATGATCCTAGATGAGTAAATCTGAGATAAGAGAGTCGAACATTGGAAGCCGGTTGTCGTATCTTGGAGTGCCCAAATCAGTGTTGGGCGTGTCCAGCTGTTAACCAATCCAAACAAAACCTCGGATGAAGTTGTCATTATGTTGGCGTAGACTGGTGTCGCCTTGCAATCACGTCTGTGACGACATTTGTAATGCCCGAGAGGTGTCCAAACCTGGCCTCAAGTGACACGCCGTTCAGCAACGTGATCACATGATCACAAGCGCATGTTGTTGGTAGGACAGAAGGCCTCCATGTTGTCATGAGTCGTTTATGGCAGAACACAGATGTGAGTTTTTGTTTCCTTACCTTTATATTGTCTTTATGTACAAATGAAACATTTGATTAAAGTATTCATTATCATGCAATTTGTAATTAGAATATTTGTATACTTTGAATGGTTCGGTTTTGTGTTGAAAACTTATATATCAAGGTATATATTTGATAACGGTAACGATAACGCTGCAACATTGTGAAAACGAAAATGTGAATAAAGTTTTGGTGAGAGTATCATACTGTGTTTCTTGCCGCAACAGGTTTTCTGATAGCCATTCGCAGTAGAGCTCATTTCAAGGATGGTGTTGCATTTCCTTATCGTTGGATCACCATCCGAAAGGTGTGGACTGCACAATAATTCTCTGAGCGCCGGTTCCCAAACAGACACTTGTACAGGGGTAGAAAGGTACATCACCAATCCCAGGACGAAGAGAGGCGCGTTTGGGGACTGTCCTGGTGACGATGAAATACCAGACGCTGATGCACTCATCGTAGCCATTGAATGTGAAGGCGCCATCAAGGTGGGATGCATCAGCAAGATGCTGGATGACAAGGCGTTGTAAATCAGCGAATAGATACTTGGCTTAGGACGATCGCCAGTGCATCGCCAGTGGATCGCCAGTCACAGACAAAGCACTGATCCCCAGTAGATCCCCAGCTCCAATCATCAGCCAAGCAACACAGTCCCAAGGAGGATGCATCCCATGAAGGCGACGCCGGGGATACTTGTAGAGAGGCCATTAGGCGTGACAGATGACGATCTAAGACGAGGAGAAACGCTGGTGGAAGACAGTTCTGGTGACATTGACATCCACTTTCTACAGTTTGGACAATCAACGTGAAGATTACTTCTGCAGTTGCCAAGGTAACACGAAAATCAAATGGTTGTGCAAATAGGAGGCAACACACTTCGTCACTAATACATGCTGGAAAACATGATATATATATATATATATATATATAAACATCACACGATGATAAATAATAGCCGTACCTGTCAATTGTGAGAAGTTAACAATGTATGGACAAAAAATGTTTCGCATGAAAAATGTTTTGTCACGACCAGGTGAACAAAAATACGCAAATGCATGCTGCAAAATGAAAGTTGTCCATATACTTTATTGAAATAGCTTTCTTGAAAGATATCTGTGACGTTTCATTCAGGTAGAATGTGAGTGAGTGAGTAAGTGAGTATGGTTTTACGCCGCTTTTAGCAATAATCTAGCAATATCACGACGGGGGACATCAGAAATGGGCTTCACACAATGTACCCATGTCGGGCATCAAACCCGGGTCTTCGGCGTGACGAGCGAACGCTTTACCCACTAGGCTACCCTACCGCCCCGGTAAAATGTATAATAAACCCAAAGTCAAAGGATATAATTCCCAACAGAAACCACCCCTGTATCACTTGTGTGATGAGAAGGGACGTAATGAATAACCCATTACAGAATAAGCAATGGTAACGAGGGCTCTGGATGTACACGGAGGCACGTTTTAGATTAGGCGATATGATCGAAGTGAAGAACAAAATTGAAATATGTTGTGCCAGGATAAGAAATATTATTTGGTATATTTATCTTTGGAAAAACGTCTAAAAAGATTTACTTGTCAGTGTATGAAGACCTACACAATGTATCGATCAGGAACATATTATATAATTTGTCTATTTTTCTTAGTCCACATGAATGGGAGTGTAGCTGAGCTTACTTCAGTTAGTCAAGACTGTGGGCGGAAACATTCAGCATATATTTCTCCACAGATCAATCTTGGATAATTCATTGTTAACAAGTCTACATTATCAATGTCTGATGCACATTGTAAAATACATGTGTATTATGTGAAAAAAATCTTTTCTAACTTCAGCTGATGCGCTGCAATTTCACAGCCTATGGTGCTTAGAACCAACCTTTACTAAAACGCCAACATTTTTGTAGATTTAGATTAGTAATATTATGTTCAATATGAATCACGAGGCGTGTGAAAGGTTGAAATACCTTCTTCAGTTGAGGTGTTATCAAGTTTCTCCTTGATAAATGGTTGTGTGGAATCGAGGACAGCACAGAGTGTCCTGTAGCCTTCAACCCCTTTTTTCTTCAAAATCTCCAGGAACAGTTCACATTGTCTCTCTGGTGCAGCTTGTCTACACCTGTCATAGTCTCCCTGTGTGAAGACACAGCCCTGGTACAAGGCATCCAGCACAGGGTCGACCTGAAGGTTCTCCTTTAGATATACGTGATTCTTCTGCAGGATAAGACTATGGGGAAAATCCATCCTGAGATGTAATGCGTGCGTGATGGTATCTGTAAAATGAAAACAATACCAGGTATGATTGTTGTTTCAAGTGGTGACCAATATTGAGTTTAAGTCAATATGTAAATAGCTACGCGATAAACTGCAACAAGAAATGAATAACGAAGCGTGGTTCATTTCACGATAAAATATTTTTCTATCATGAAGTCATTGCTGAAGATTCGAACATGCGCTCCCAACTTGATGACGTCATATATTTGGAGACGTTCTGAAAGGGAAATGTCGTGTGGGCTGTTCCCCATAGATGTATCTGGGGTACGCAGATAAACGCAGTGGCCGAACGGTCGCATTCAATAGCGGGGGAGATATGACAATCGGTACGAGGAGAAAATGTACGAATAGTCGACGTTAGGATTGTGAGAATATGCGGGAAATACCAAACTTGACAAACCTGTTCTCAAAATGGACTTCTCCGACATTGTCGAGGTCGCTTTCTATTCTTATTATAAATAAGGTAAATGGTTTTAAATGTACATTTTAATAACATCCTTAAAAAGGCTGTACATAATTTTGATATATGATATCTAAAATATACGACTCATAGTCGTTGTATACCGTACAATAAAACACTGCAGGAAGAATAACCACTCTGCACCCCTCGTGTCTTTATTTCTTTTTTAATGTCGGTTATGTGTCTGCATTAAAACTTCATAGGGCATGTGGCCGGCTGCAATAGGCTTGGTGATGGGTTTCCAGAGGATATGTAAAGCACCAATCATCGTATGTACTAAATACAGTTTGAAGACAGGGTCATAGTTTGAAAGAGGCCAGCACAAACAACCAGTATTAAAGATGTTAGAAGATGATGTGCACAACCTTCCAGAGACTAAACACCAGAAAACAGCTTTCAAATTATTGGTGTAATTAAAATAAAACAATTTAAATGTTTAGCAATGATATATACAATTAAATTGGGCGCCACACATTGAGTTAAGTATTTGATAGATATAAGCTTCTCCGTACTTCAAAGTCTCAAATTAGAGAGTAACCTTTCACCACCCAAGAAATCACAATCAAAGTTACATGTTTATTTGTTTTTGTACATTGAGTGAGTGAGTGAGTAAGTATGGTGTTACGCCGTTTTCAGCAATATTCCAGCAATATCACGGCGGTGGACACCAGAAATGGGCTTCACACATTGTACCCATGTCGGGAATCGAACCCGGATCTTCGGTGTGATCAGCTAACACTTTAACCACTAGGCTACCCGACCGCCCCCTGAAGGAGTAAGTAAAACATTGCCTTGCTGTGTAATAATGAAAATACTTCGTACAACAAATTTGTTTCCGCCCAAACCTACGCTTAACCATCTTGAAACATGAAATCATTTCCACCTACAGCTTTCTTTATGCGCCTAATCTACCCAAACACTAACACTGAACTCAATTTACATCATAAACAGTTGTTTCCTATTGTCTATGAACACATTCAAGGCTTCAAACTCAAATGTCTACAAAATGGGTCGTATGAATATTCTATTTCCTGTGAATCCAAATATATGAGGCGTAAAATACACATGGAATATGACACAAGAGGTTGACATCTATCGACAGTCAGAAATGGCCTCCTCCATGATCAACAGTGAAACAAAATTTGAACGTCAGTGAAGGTAGACACTCAACGCATGAAGCTCTACGGCATAAACATACAATGTTGTAAATGTTAATACCTCACCCGACTTACAACACAATGTTATCAGTAGGCCAGTATCACGTGACAAAGCTAGAGTTTGTGCTATGTCCCTACATTCATGACATGCAGTGACAGGAATGGCGTCTGATGACATACTTAATATCGGTAGCTTTAAAATGTGTTGGTGGAATGAAATTAAGTCCATGATGTCACACAATACAAGTGTTTATGAAACTACTACAATCACGTGTATGTGTCAAATAAATAAGAAGTCGTAATAGAAAACAACTGGATCACAAATCAGACACAATGAAAGAACCAATCAAGACGGATCTTCGTGTTCTCTATAATGCTACTTAAAGGGGGACATACAATGTGATTTAAATCCCGCCTTTTACCATATTTGTGTGCAATGTTCTTGTTTATCCATTTAGCACTTAATGTGTGACGCACGATGACAATGTCTCAGATGTTTCACACGGTATTACAACATCTAAACCGAGACAGAAAATGAGTGGACTAGTGATACCCCCGAAGACGGCAGAAGGTGCACGTGGGCATTTTCAACAACTCTGTATCTGGAACATGTTGATAGTGTTCAGTTGTACAAATTACGCAACGCGCCGACCTTAATGTCTGCTGATAGTCGCGTGTGGCCATGCAGTGAACGAAACATGTAATCTGTATGAGAATATGTAAGGTAGCGTCGCCAACGTCATACTCGGCCTCAAGGTATGGATTTGTCAGAAAGTGTGAAGCCCGACTATGACACTATAATGACCCACTACAATACAATAACATAGAGTTCATACAACAGCCTTACACAGAGAGGACTCTCTGAGATCATTTGTTAACACGGGCTGAAAATGAAATATATTTACACAAGCGAGGCCTATCTAATAAAAGCTCTTCGTTTGCTATAGTTTCACTTACTTCTTGTCAGCCTAAGCCAAATGTCTTACCCCAGAAGACGGCAAAAGGGACTTGTGGCTGAGGTCCTCAACACATCTCTATCCAGCTAGAATATAACTGTCCGCTACCTGTTCAAGGGAACGAGGGCCACGCCTCACTGTACACAATCTACATGCATGTCACGTGGTAACATACAAAGCCACCCTGTGTGAGAAAGATGTCGTCTCATGTGCTTGTGTACCCGTGACGTGATTTGCAGTTGAATAAGAAAGGTAGTAGGTCAAAGTTGTCGCTATGTTGAATAGTACATTACTGTGTCACACTGACATTGACAGACTAGGATTTCCTTAGCAACTGATGTTTCTAACATGCATGTTCTGTCCAGAAACTTAAGGTACCACAACTGATACAATTAACTTATCCATAGCCTCAGAGAATAGAGTGAGTGGATTTGGTGTATTGCTGTTTTGAACTGTGTTTTCAGTTATATCACGGTGTGTCAGTTTAATATGGGAAGAAAGCCTGCATTGATGCAGGTCCTAGATGCTACAAATTGAAACCCAGGAGTACGGCCATGTGCTGACAAGCTACGAATCATGATCGGAGCGATTCTGGGATTCGAACCTACGACCACGAGAATTGTTCAAATGCAATTCCCCCAAAAGTTGGTAGTGAGAAAAAGTGTTTCATGTTTCGTGGCAGAAGAGACCACAATCACGAGAGCTTGTGTTCTGCATGATATAATTATCTTTATCTTAATATTATATAACTCGCTGATAAAACATACAGTGTGGGGCTTATGGATACATAGTGAAACTCGTTAGTGTACACACACTGTCATTCCTGAAAATCCACATTTCAGTAGATTGCTGCCAATGCGTAAATGTCTATGAAATGAAATATTTCTGTACCAAAGATTCGTTAATCTTGACATTTAAGATTTAGTGGGGAATTTCTTTTTATTTACGACATAAACACGAGTCAGTTGAAATAAACCTAAATCAAGCGAGTCCTACCTGATCTAAGTTCGTCAATTAAAGTCACCCTCAGTCACCTTCCTTATAATACATCCAGTAGATGACAGGCAATGCTGTGGTACAACCTCTCTATGAAGCCAGGATAACATTTCTGTTCTGGTGATAAGGGACACACCTCATAGTACAAGGTCTAAATATTTGTCACGTGATAACAAACAAATAAAACGGCAAAACCCTGTCCATATCCAATACAAAACAAATTTCAATAAAGCAGAGTCGATTGTACGATTCCGACTATATAATGCGTATATGTTTATTAATCACTATCGAATAGTGATGATGCTAGGTGTTCGCGAAAAGGTGAGCAAATCCTGCCCCACTTGTGGCATCTGTCACAAACACATGCAAAGGCAAGCGAATTGTTAGCCTGAAAAAAACATGGATCATATGGTACAAGTCAAAATAGGTAATTGCATCGGACATCATTTTAAGCCACTCTTTACGGGGAAATCTGAAGTTTCAGGAACCCGCGGCATGAATCGCAGGTTAGAATTGAGGTAGGGCAGGTCAATTTTGTCCACCAGTTCGAACTTGCCCATACGGAAGGGATCGAGCTACAAGAACAAACTTTATATCAGTGGAAAGCTCCCGAAGAGATGAATTCATCCGATGTTTGTCCCAATATGCATTCACGGAAATTTGCCCACAAATAGGCTTAGAAATTGCATTACTGCAGGAAATGCTGGCATATTCACATGTTTTCCACAAATAGCACTTTATTTGTAATATGTACTTCAGCAGAAATATCACCCTGAAGTCATTTTGTTTAAACAATCTGCTTTTGTGTTGAAACGTTACTCTTTGGTAAATCAGTACATTTAGAGAAAATCCTATACACTTACAGATGAGGGAATGATATAAAGATTGCCAACAAATCATTTCATACAATAAAAATTCTTGAAAGGCCCGATGAGCAACAAACGAAAAACAATTAATTGTCCTCACATTACCTGTTTTGATATATATATATATATATATTCGCTTGTCATAATTCATTTGTAATCCAGATCAAGTAAACCATTTTGTAGACATCGCATAGCAAATAATGACGATGAAAACCTGCGGATTCCTTCTCGAAATAGAATAAACTTTGCTTGCTTGTTTGTTGTTTAAGGCCACAGCCTGGAAATAATCGTGTCTGGGGCCGACAATCCAGTGATTGGTGATATGTAAGGATCCACGCAGTCGGGATAGGATGACAACGGTCAACAGGTTACCATCTCTTACAACAAGCAACAGTTCTAACCCGGAATATCCACGTGCTGACTGAATAGGTGAGGTGAGGTGAAAGGTGTTTAACGTCGTGTCCAAGATTATTGCACTTATAAAGCGACGTGCATGCACGTGTGTATGTGGCTGCTTGTACTAGTCCGGACTGATGCCGATTTAGAGTGCTAGCCCACTGAGATACCATGCTGCAGTTTAACATGGATACCCCACTCAGACACAGTATACTGACTCCGAGCCGACCAGTCCTGGTTTTAGCCCCTTAATGTCGAGCGCCAGACAGGGTAACAACAAGTACCATCTTTTAACGTCTTTTGGTATGACGCGGCCGGGGATCGAACCCCGGAACTTCCGCTCTCCGGGCGGACGCTCTACCACTAGACCACGGAGGCGGTCCTGACTGAATAGAGAGTGACATAGATCAGTATCATATATATTTGACTAAAACGTGATGCCTTGCAATTAATGAAAATTCGTAAAGAGTTTAGAGTTTTTATAACTGTTTATGATCTACAACAAGACTCAAAATATACTGATTCCTGTCAAGCGGAAACATTTCTCTGGATAATAATGAAATGTATTACTCAGTTTTATCAAATAAGAACGAGAACGAGTGTGGTGGTTTGTATTTACTATCAACATTATATCCCTACATTTTCATGAATGATTTACTTCTTCATATTGATTTATTTAATCATGTAGATCTGTAATTACCACAGCAATAAATCAAGCATGACTTAAAACTTGAAAATAGGGCTACCCGGACCCGTGGTTAGTCACGTGATATACTGTTGAATGAGAAAAATGATCACTACTTAACTCCATGGTAACCTACAAATCGTTAAAAATGTTCGGATATCTTTCTGACTATAGCCACATTCCTCCTGACTTTTATACGTTTTGAGTAATGATACAGCGTCAGTCGACTTTAGTGACCAAATTGTTTTATAGGTGAATTTAAATACTTTTTAACAAGGGGTGCGGTAAAACAATCCTGATGGGACATTTTGTACCCAACTCTTGAGGCCTACAGTGGGTATCCGGGTAGGGTCGGGTAATAGGGGGTCGGGTACCCGGCTAGTACATTTGGACTCGTCCCAGCCCTACTTGAAAAACACAAATAATATCATCACAGATTATATATTTTCATGGCATGGGGATACATATTTTTGACGGGAGGCAAATCTCAGATATAATAGTGTATATACAAGTATACACACACACTCGAGGAGGATATTACATTTGTACAAAGTGAAGTACAATGGAAAAGGAAACATATCACCGTGCGGGTTGTTCATCGAACAAAATATTAATCCAACAACGAGGAAAACCTGTCAGAGGTGTACGACTGATTGTGAAGGTTTTCACTTCCGCATTCCTTTAATGTGTCGACTGCTACTTCGTGTCACACCGACCTGTATACCCTTTATACAACAATCACCTTGGAAACCACGCATGAAATAGATTAGAAAAGATGAAGATATTTCCGTCTGCGAGTTTGATAAATGACCCACTCATATGCTTTTCGCCGCTCTTTTGCCATTTCTCTGGCGTTGACGTTTGATATGTACTTGATAAAAGGGCGATCCCTGAAAATAAGAGGCTGGTCTGTGTGATGTGTAGAGGACACCTCCTGTGGCCTTAAAAGCCAAGCGCACGTTGGTATTGTAGGGAGGGAGTGGGATAACAGCATGGGATAAGAGAGCACAAAGGGCTTCCCGTGTGCAACAGCACATGACGTTATCGACCCGATAAAGAGGTGTACGGTTTGATGAGGGTCCCAATTTGATTTAAACATATTTTATTGCGGAAAATCAAATGGATTAGGCACAAGTGACACACTTACGAAGCCTTCTATATACATTTCGTTACATTGTGGTATGTGAATTCTGTGGTGCAGAATACATGTACAGTGCATAGGGATCTAATGCACCCCGATTTGCAGTGCAAAGTAGCATCCTTTAGCCGTGTCATGGACCCGCTTGTCCACTATTTTCCCAGTGTTTGATCCTTCATCGATCTGCACCATGTCGTCCTCGTGGCTTTTCATCCAAGTAACCATGACTTGCATGATTTGTGATTTCATCTTACGTTTGGGGCCTGTTATCGCAGGCATCACAGTTGCGACCATTAAATTTTGCAGAAACCAACGGTCATGGGTTCAAATCCCACATTCGCCCTGATTATGTTTCCAGGTTTGTCAGCACCATATCCTTGATCCTTGGGTTGCAGTTCCGGTTTTCCAGGGAACTGCAATACTGGTCGAAGCGGCATTAAACTAACTCACTTAACCGCTTATCTTAAATGGAGCTGACACGCCGTTATGCACCTTAAATATAATCGTGATACCAAATCGATTCACTTATGGATAAAACAGCTACTCAAGTACTAAATACAATGACTGATCCCATGCAAACACTCTTCAAATGAGTGAGTGAGTGATAAGAGTATGGTTTTACGCCGCTTAAAGCAATATTCCAGCAATATCACGGCGGGGGACACCCGAAATGGGCTTCACACATTGTACCCATGTCGGGAATCGAACCCGGGTCTTTGGCGTGACGAGCGAACGCTTTAACCACCAGGCTACCCGACCGCACCCTCTTCGAAAGTCACTTAGGAGTCCAGACAGAGAGTTAGGTTTCCGCTTCTGAATGCAAGATTACACACCAGACATCAGTTTTATACTTTGTTTTGATGAATTGTAAAACATTACTATATTGTCTACTTAAGGACAAGGCGGCATGGGTGGCCCAGTCGTCTAATGCCTCGCGATTTGCTGTGCAGAGATGCGTCCCTTGGGCATGCCAGAAACCTATGATTGTAGGTTCGAATTCCTGTTCGCCCCGATTATGTTTCTAGGTTTGTACCCTATCCCTATCGTGCTCGTAGGTTTTACCGAAGTGGTAAACGTCTGAGACCAGCATCACTTCGGTCTTTCCTCCCACATTAAGCTGACACGCCGTGATATAACTGGAATACTGTTAAAAGTGGCGTTAAACCCATCTCACTCACTCACTAACTCAAGTCACAATAAGATTTGAATGACGTCAACAATGCCATCCGGATGACGAAAATAATACACTGTTATCTCGTGACATGATATGACCCTAGGGCACATTTGATTTTTATGAATCCCCATAGGTTTGCCCTCGTAGGTAATAAATACATTTACGCATCTGTTTACATTTTATTTACATCACTGGGATATGACATGATAAAATAATGATAGTAAATAAATACGTACATTTATCAACATACAGAACACTCGACCAGTCGACTTGGCACCACCGTGTGCTGAATACATGTTGTTCCCAAAAGAGGAATTGTGGCATTATCGACATAATTTATCCGCCTGGTTAAACCTGGTCATTTACTAGAGGATGGACACCTTGAAGTACGAGACAACGGGTTTAGAATGTAGTTACTTCATATCAAATTATTTCATAGCGATACAGAAAGAAAAGGCAGAGACAGCAGCAAGCATGGCCTAAGTTTAAAATGGCGAGGTAATCTAAGATTGACATTTTGTATTGTGCATTTCTGCAAACCTCATTGTTGGATGTAGACCAAGTGCTGCACAAGTACAACAATTCTTAGAAACCCTACATTTTTAAGAACTCATATCAATGTGTATCGAGAGCCAAGTTGTTAAAACCAATTCTGTTGAAAGTAGAGCTGTGTTCGGATTGTATGGGCACTGTAGGAATGTACTTTTGAAACTATTCGTGCAGATCAAATGAAAATACTATAAAAACACTTGTATGGGGATTCAAAATTCTACTTACTCACAGCAGGACACATTGTCATAAAGAAACAGACAATTCAGTGAACTTAACTACCCAGCTGTACACCAGGACCGCCATGTAATGTATCTGTCAATTTCAAATAAACACTATTCATGTGGGTATTTAAAATTGTTATTTTACAGATTGGAAGCGAAATATGTCCATGTATTCATGATTGAAAAACGTTTTACTCAGTTGCGTGTTGTAACATTTCCCAGAAATGTGTGAAATGTTCATAAACTGATCAGGTACTATATATTAATAATAATAACAATACTCATGTATGGATGTAAAATGTTTCTAATACACAACAGAAACCAGTCATGTAGGAAAACAACACCTTTAGCTAACCTTGTTATATGGTCGTACACAACAAACAAACAACAAACAACACATGAACAGGCTACTTCTACGTCCTCCTCTTCACTAGTGTTGTATTGTATTTGACAGTTTAAGTAGATATGTCATGTTTACAAGTTTACACAGTGCCAAGTTCAGTTCATTCCTTAGGCCAGGGCTTCATTGATGAGTGATCTTTTTGTGTCAGTCATGACGATCTCCTCCCCGCTAATCAACTTCATGTTTACTGTGAAGGCGATTGGCGAACTAATACCAAACACAGGGAGAAGAGCCTCACGAAACTCTACATCAGCCTTTGCTAGAACAACCTCCCTGTCCAGGTCGATAAAGGCTAGTCTACCCCTCCCAACATCCAGCACAACTCCATAGTGGAGGGTGGCCTGTGTGCCGGGTGTGTCAGACATTGTGTTACTGTAACACTTCCACTCCTCCGCCTCCTGCCACACCCCGGTACAGATACTCCCCAAGTGTGTGGTGCAGCTCCTTACACTGACACACCAGGAGAGGCGCTGTTGACAAGCATACCACCCACTGTCCACCTGGCTCTCCTCCACTACACCCATCTCCAGGACAGGCATCCCACGCAACCCATACATTGCACTCATCACACCCACCCTGGAGCGGGTTTCCCAGTATCGTGGTGTGTTGGGGGAAGGGGTGACACTGGAGGGGGATGAATCAAGTGGGATGGGGGTGGAGGTACACGTGCCCAAATACTTCTGCAGCCTGCGCCTGTCACGTGACTGTGTGTCGGGCGGCGAGTTGACCAGCTCACCGTCTGTCGTTACATGGCACCGGTCTGTGTTGGCTCGATCAGCGTCCAGTTGGAGTTTAGGACCTGGAAATAGATTTTATTTGTTACTACAATGAATCATTTTGTTTATGAGTTTTGTTTCAATGATTCCAAAAAGCGCTATAATTTATCGGCTGCCATTTTCATCTGCCTACGAATTTAATGATAACTGTACTCTTAATTTAAATAATAACGCTGTGAAACAAATACACGCTTTTTAGATATCTTTTTACAATGTTGCATTTGACCTACCTTGCTGTGACTAATAGACCCCAACTGCCGAATTATGTAAATGTTTCAAAGTTATTTCACGATTAAACTATCATTATAGGGATTCTAAACTCTAATTATACATAATAGTAAAGACCGAGATAGACGAAAGTGTTGTTTCGTGATATCTTTACATTTGAGTGTTGAACAGACACAGTGGTAACTTCTACGTCCGATTCAGTCACTGTACACAGTTTAAGCGCACTCGTTGGGCGAGGAGATTTTCACGTCAAGTGTATTGACTGGGATAAGTATTTGTGAATAATTTGTATAAACAGTTATATTATTATTATGACATTGCAAAACGTATCCATTGTTGACGGATAATCCCGGACTAATTCACACTACTTCCATCTGGTATGTGATAATGGTGACTTACATTCATCTGAAACCTACCTTATCCTGCTGATGAAGTCATCAAACCCGGCCCAAAGTTTCACAAATATGGAACAGATTAAAATTTAAATACGGGCTACTCCCTTTTCCCCAATCGATGTGTGTTCAAATAATTAAATGGAATTTTAAGATCGGTAAACCTTTTTGATTATTGATTAACCAAAATGACAATTCTTGTCAAAATTCCTCAGTAAACATGGACATGATTCTCTACCTTTTATTTATGAAATCTCATTCTTATTTTGGCCAAAAACACAGCTGTTATTAAGAAATAGACGATTACTATGTTATCAGAGGCACTTACACATGTTTCACATCAACAACCTTTCACCACCCAAGAAATCACCATCAAAGTTACATGTATATTTGTTTTTGTACATTGAGTGAGTGAGTAAGTATGGTTTTACGCCGCTTTTAGCAATATTCCAACAATATCATGGCGGGGGACACCAGACATGGGTTTCACACATTGTACCCATGTCGGGAATCGAACCCGGTCTTCAGCGTGTCGAGCGAATGTATGTACATAGTAAATGTGATTCAAATGAGTGAATATTGTAAATGCACCACTTTTAGCAATATTCCAGCACTACCACTGTGGGGGACTCCAGAAATGTAATTCACATATACATTGCATACATGTGGGGAATCGAAACCCTCATCTTTGACGCGACGATCAAACTGGCCTACCTCACCGCTATATGAGGTGCTTCTATAAAAAAGCTGAACATTTACAAGTGTTACATATGCAAATGTGGTGGTAGGCTAAAAAAAAATAATTAAAACAAACACACACAAGGAGTAAATGCAAATTGGCTAGGACAGCATGGCTATGTGATAGCACCTCAAACAATACAAATCAATAAAAAAATCAAAGAAGTGCAAAGGTCAAGTTGGCTGGTTGGCTAACACCGTCGTAACTGGAAATGGCTGAACAAATGGGAAGTAATGCCTTGTCAATTATATGATTTTTAGCCTTTGTTTTGACATCCTAAATTTCCCCGATAATGTCGAGGTCCTGATAGATCAGCTCCAGCTTATGACGTCTACATTTCCCGGTTGTTTGGGGACTGAAGTGAGAATGTCAGATTTTGTGGAAAGACACATTGCGTTTTCATCTAATCTTTTTTATCAAGGACTAACCCTCACAGGCCTGGTCAAGACAATTCAGATATCCAATGATAGACGTTAAGAGGAATTTACCAAATATGACACGCTAATTGTCGAAAGATGCGCGACGCTGTTTCCTACTATGACCTCTATAGGGAGTGTTGACACATCCCCACACACTGACATTCACCTGAATAGATAGGTTGGTCATGCTTGGGGACGTGGACGTCGTACCCCGATAGCATGAGTCATTGTTCATGATACTGATCACTGGATTGTCTGGGCAGGACTCAATTGTTTACAGGCCGCATTCGTATGGGAGGAGTATTGTTGGGTGCGGCGTTAGGAAAAACACAAAAACATGTAATTCTTGTAAAAATTGCCGGGTGCCACTGGTAGAGCAGGACGTCCATTTTTGCAGACACTTGGTGTCATCAACTAATTTACAGTGATTCGGTCACATACTTTTTCATCACTATCTTGCCTTTACTGCCGTATATAATATGTTTCTGTAGAAAATCGAGTCTGAATATTCTCATAACGATTTGAATTGTATGCTTGAAGCCTATTTCTTTAAGCGAGTGAGTGAATATGGTTTTACACAGCTTAGAAGTATTCCAGCAATAACACATCTGGGAACACCAGACATGGCTTCACACAGTGAACCTGCATGGACACTAGACACAGAATATGGGTGAATCTGAATGCAGCTTTTTGCTCAGCCGATATAAACAATATTTGTGAGCTCATTGTCTTTTTATCTTACAACATTGATTTGTTCTACAAATCAATGTTTTCTTGTGTTTCATCCAGCTCACCTCCTGCTGTTCTACATTACAGCTTTCTACCGTTCTGGAAGATGCTCCCACAGAAAACATACATGTATGAGAACACCAATACGATTGCAAAACTGAAAAAGTACAACTGCTGGAGTGGTAGTGGAGTAGCCTTGGGTTTAAAGAGTTACCTTGTTCACGCCGAGTTTGACTCCCAACAAGGGTCGAATGTGTGAAGCCCATTCCATGTGTTCCCAGCCATGATTAATCCCTTATCCCTCACTACAACTGCTGGAGGTACAAGCTTCCAACACGTTTTGATCCCTTTAGTATGAATCTTTTCATTTACATTTACATGTTCCGTTTACGTCATGGACGTCTGGTCATTATAAAGTCGCATCCAGCACACCGGTGATTGATAACACGTACTACGATCAACGCCGGTGACACACGATGGTAATACAGGTAATACATTGTAAGCAACTGACTTTTGAAGTGGTTTTGTATGCTAGAAACTATTGCTTAACCCAATTGCCTAATAAACATGAACTACTAAAAATAAATACTTACAGATGATGAATATGCCACTTCTGTTCTTGCTGATGATGTGAATTGCACCTGAGTACCCTGAAAAATATAGTTTTCATTGTAATACATGATTTTGGCACATTTGTTTCTGAAGACTGTTCTCACAGATGACAAGCATTGTAAAATGTGAGTGAGTCTTACACTGATCAAACAAACATATGGTTCTTTGAAGCCAAAACCATGATCTGGTCGAATTTAGGATTTGAATCCATGATACTAAGTTCAGAGGATCATGGCACGATTAAGGAATGCAAATGTACACAAGCAAATGTCGACATGGGCAGCACATGCCCCAACATCAGATGGGAAGCACACAAGTGAAGCTAGTTACCTCATTTTGCCTTTTATTGTGCAGTGAATTACATTAACTGATCTAGATAAAACTTCCTAATAACTATGTATTTTCTGACATGCCAGAAGCAACGATTTTAAAGTGTAACAATGAATATTATCCAAACGAAGGAGGGCATGCATTTCCGAGGCCTCGCCGTATCATTACATGTTATCATTCGAAAATAGCAAGGACGTTTGATGTAACTAGTTGTGGTATGTTGCGTACAGTATCGCTCACTAAACAGGTAGAACTGTTTGCTATACATAACTGCTATGGGTCATGCATCCTTTACCTGGAAATCTAGTAAACTGGTGACATCTTACAACTTGACTATAACTGACATTCGAGATATAGTTTTGACTAAATAACTAAATCCCATATCGTGTAGTACATACCTCTCAAGTATAAACCACGTGTAGGCGACTCAGAAATGATGGATGCTCCGAGTATGAACTGAAAACATATTATTAATAAGCTTGACACATTATGTAAGTTCTATGTATAAATCTAAATACGTTTCTTGGCTAGACAATTTTGAATGATTTCCTTTTCTTCTATACTTCGCAGTTTACATTTTGAGGGGGTTGGGGATGTTTGTCATTTAACGTACACGTGTGACAACTTCATAAACTTCCTGTGGTGTCAGCTGTTCATGTCGGAGATCCTGTGGTGTCAGCTGTTCAGGTTGGAGTCCCTGTGATCCATCTCCACTTGTATCAGAACCTGTTTGTAGATAAATGTATTGGATTTCAATAATTAATCTAACTAAAGTCTTATTATTTACTGCTTTTATATAAACAGAAAGTGAGTCTTACATTAATGCACTGAATACATTGGTATACTCTATTAAAGTATGAAGGTTAGTGTAGTTCATTTGGTATTTAATTTGCTTTTCCTGACCTACATCCAGGTGTTATATTGTACCTGTGATGCGACGGATCATCTCCCCAAGCCGATGCCAGCGCCCTTCATGTACCTGAAACAACATCGTTGACCCAATAGAGATCAGAACATAACCTTTTGGCTCACACAATAGCTGTGTATCATATCATACCACATACATTATTTATTTATCGACTGCATGTAACATTTAGCTATGTGGGTGTTAGGAACGATGTGCAACTTGATTCCAACCGTGTTGATTAACATATGTTTTACTCACAATTTGAGCCATGTATGTACTCAATGTAAAGAGCCATTGAAACCCTTTCTTAGAAAACATGTTAATAAAAACAAAATTCTGTTACGAAAGCAATACATTACCGCACTGGTTTCTTCGTCTTTTAATGCCAGGTGTTTATTCTGTTTATGGAGATCTGAAGAGACAATTCCAAACACTTATTGATTACCTTATTGGTAACAGTTTTCCTCTTACCCATCGTACATACGGACGGATGTTCGACTACATTAAAACTGGGCCAAGGTACATGGAATAGCAAGATACTTTTGAATCGATTAATAATGGTATTAAGGCATGCAAGATAAGATAACTTAAAGTATACCCAAAACACTTAGCTATGATATAGGATATTGTTCCTAAAGTCCACGATCAGTGTTCCGATATTGAAGAAGCATCCTTACCCTGTAAAGTAGGCTGTTTATCTGGAATATGATCCAAGTCAAGACTGGAGGCAAGACCACCAAATGTGTCGATTAGTTCCATAAGGGCTTTCTGTCCTTGAAAGGAAAGAAGGACTCTCGTGTCTTGTGTGTCATCTTCTGGAAGCTTCCTCTTCAGATTTTCATCAGATTTCTTCTGCAGTACACCGGTGAGGGTAATGAGCTCCTCCTGTCTTGTGGATTGAAGGGTTCTCTGGGTGTAGTCTATCGTTGATACTATTGCAGTATGGACGTCATGTAAAGTGTCCAGCTTCTCTTTAACCATTTCATTTGGGGCCTGAAGACTCGCACGAATGTCCTTCATGAGTTGTCTCTGCCGGTGAAGGAACCGTACAGCAACACTTTTGAAGACTGTAGTGGCATCTTGTTCCAGTACAGCTTTCTCTGTTTATTTCCCAGTTTGTTTTGGTGACTGTTGACAGTTTTCATTCTGACTGTGACATATTTCAGTTTAAGTCGTTGCTTCTGCACCTGCTCCTGCAGCTGACCCTTTGCTTCCACATAGGCATGATTCAAGTCTTCATTCTCGTGACCCTTGTGGGCTCCATGTACACACACAAGGCACATTGCCTGCTTACATGTGTGGTCATACAGCTGCGGCTTGTTGTCAGGATGGTCTCTGCAGTTAGGTTCTTTCATCCACTGCTTCATAGGGATATTCTCCGCCTGGTTGATCTCAATCACGCTGTGGTTTTGATTCGGTTTCAGTGGTTCGTGTATTTTATGACAGTCGGAACAGAGCAGGCTATCACATTCGTGACAGTACATCATAGCCTTTGCATCATGATCTCCTTCGATGTAGTTACATTTCTTCTCTCCATCAACGTTAGCAGTATAGGCAGCTTCGTTGCGTCCGACATGATCCACTGCTGTCTGTTCAATGTTGAACTCACGGCCACAGGAGGGACACTGTATGCAATTCTGCTTGGCTTGGGTGTCTTGGTGATCAATGCATGGCTTGCAGGCAGAATGAAGGCATGGAAGAAGGCAAAGCTGACTCCCATCACAACAGGACTTGGTTGAAAACTGACACATTCGCTCAGTCGATTCTGAGGAAAAACAAGTGACACGATCAGTTTAAAGCTTAAAGGAAAACTGATTCATCAGACATATTTAATCAGGCTCTTACTTACCGTGTGATTGCATTTTTGTTCATAAGTTACATATATAAGATGGAGTGTCACTTTGTTTAATGCACCTGCTTGATGGACTTCCTCTCTAACATGTACCCTGTCTGGGGACTGTGACCTGTGGCCTCCTCTTCCTCTTGTAGTCTCTGAAACGACAGTTATCACTGCATCACAGACATGTATCTTGTTATCAAGATATTACGTGTTAATTTATTTCCATTTAGTTTAGAAGTTGTGCAAAATAACACTTTAAACATAGAAGTTGATCCCATTCTCACCTTCTCCAATGTTTCACATTTTGCTCGAATCTGCAGCAACTCATCATTTGCCTTTGACAATTTTGTTTTTACTGAAACAAGAAAAATGCATGGATATCCTCAGATAACAGTTTTATGTGTCAACATTCCGGACATTGCATAGCATTTGTCTATTGAAACTATGGAATTAGTATATTTCAGAAATGATACAATGTAGTTGTTTATCATAGACAGGCCGTTGGAAACCAGGATGTTCCATTACCACCGTGAACACTGGCAAAAAATGAACACACAATGCCATTTAGCAAGTGATCAAATGTTTTATTTGGCATAACTCTTTCTTAGTTAAGTACAGATTATCGTATTTTTTTAAGTTGAGTCCTATCCGGCAGTGACAGTGTGGGTTCGAATCCTGGATGGGACTCAACCTAAAAGAGTATGATAATCTGTACTTTTCTAAGAATGTGTTACCCCAAATATATAACATTTGTTACATTTGACCACTTTCTAAATGTCATTGTGTGTTCATTGATTTCAGCCATGGGAGCCGTGCGAATTTACGCTTGTCGGAGGGGTGCAAAAAGTACGTGATCTAGGCTACCAGTTGTCGGACCATTTTTTCGAAGCCTCGACAGCTGAGTGGGTATGATCGCGGACTTTGTGTGATGGCGATTAGGTGCCATACTCTGGCAGTATGGGTTCGAATCCCGAATGGGACTCAACCTAAACAAGTACGAGAGTCTGTACTTTACTCCAAAAGTGTTATCCCAAATATAACATTTGTTACTGGCAAAATAGGCAAAATCAAAATTGTGGATAGAAGCGATATTTAACTATTTATTATTAATGTCAGATTACGAGCTTCAACTTCCTCATTCTTCTTTTCTATCTGTGTTACCCCAAATATATAACATTTGTTACATTTGACCACTTTGTAAATGACATTGTGTGTTCATAGCTTTCGGCAATGGGAGCCGTGCCAATTTACACTTGTCAGGGGGGTCACAAAGTACGTGATCTAGACTACCAGTTGTCGGACTTTTTTTTTTGAAGCCTCGGTGGTTTAGATCGCAGTCTTTGTGTGCTGACGATTAGATGTCTCACTCTGGCTGTGTGGGTGCTTCTATAAAAAAGCTGAACTTCACTAAGAAAGTGTTATACCAAATATAACATTTTTTACTGGCAACATAGGCAAATCAAAATTGTGGATAGAAGCGATATTTAACTATATATTATTTATGTCAGATTACGAGCTTCAACTTCCTCATTCTTCTTTTCTATCTGTGTTGTGAGATCCCCTCTTTCTTTTATACGTTGTTCTTCCAGTTCAGCATGGTCTGTGTCTTTTTGTTTAACTTGTTCCTCAAGTCTTTCCATTGCCTAAAAACAAACGAGAATGACCGTTTAAGAAGTAAATATCGACTGCTTATACATGGAGCAGTTTATGTCATTTTTTACATGTAAAACTCCTTTTTGATCTAAACTTCAACGTTGGTGTAAATGCACTTTTAATAATCACTACCATTGTTAAAATCATATACATCTAAATATATATCTCTTCTCAAAACAAGGGAGCTCTTAACAGCTTTTTCAGCAAGTTGTTTTTTGTGGTGAGCTTCCAGCTTTTCCTTGTTGACATAGACGAGATCTGAACTACCTGAAAATATAATATTGCGAAAACTAGATTTAAAAGACTGTTAACACATATCTTCTGAAAAGAATGCAATTTAAAGTTGATATTGTTTGGAATAATTCCTTGCCTGTCGACTTTTGCTATTCATGTTATAAGAATACTTATCCTGGCACAATATATTTCCATTTGATCATATGAAATAAAAGCCAAAGCATGCCACTTCTACATTGGAACACACGTTGCCGTTGGTTACCAAGCAGAGTCCTTGATACTCAACTGTATTCTCATCAGCATGTGGTTTGGTAATTAGGCCTGGGACAGAGACTTCTTGTGACAATGTAAGTATACTAATATCTTGAATAACCAAATTCATGTCGCATACATATTGACACAACATTTTGCAACGCTTGAAAACTAGTTCTGCAGCTTGTCGTTTTGCTAACAATCTCTGGAACACGTGTGTATAAGAATATGCTGCCCCCTGTCACATCCTCAACTCTAACATGTAAATCGATGCTTCATGGTCGAGCAGCGCGGCTTATAATACGTGAGTCCCATAGAATCGGAGACCAACAATCCCTCTGAATAGTTATTGTGACACAATGTGATACAAAGAATATCTGGAAAACAATGGCGTTTGATGACAAAAGCCCACATTAGTTCCATATGAGGCTTCTGGTCATTGTCAAACTTAAGTTAAGTTCATGCATGCATTGCAGAGTTGCCTTTCCCAGGGTGGTTCCCAGGATTCCTGTGATCTTTCTAGTCCTGGAACCATAGTCTCCTGAGCCAATAAGACACAATGGAAAGACGTTGGCACTAGTTTTAGTCAACGTCAGCAGTACTCCAAGTGGTAGTGTTGGTGTGGAAAAAATGAAGGTGGCATTGTATTGCAGCGTATGGCCAGTGGATCAAGATCCTAGATGAGTGAATCTGAGATAAGAGAGTCGAACATTGGAAGCTGGTTGTCGTATCTTGTAGTGCCCAAATCAGTGTTGGGCGTGTCCAGCTGTTAACCAATCCAAACAAAACCTCGGATGAAGTTATCATTATGTTGGCGTGGACTGGTGTCGCCTTGAAATCACGTCTGCGACGACATGTGTAATGCCCGAGAGGTGTCGAAACCTGGCCTCTAGTGGCACGCCGTTCAGCAACGTGATCACATGATCACAAGCGCATGTTGTTGGTAGGACAGAAGGCCTCCATGTTGTCATGAGTCGTTTATGGCAGAACACAGATGTGAGTTTTTGTTTCCTTACCTTTATATTGTCTTTATGTACAAATGAAACATTTGATTAAAGTATTCATTATCATGCAATTTGTAATTAGAATATTTGTATACTTTGAATGGTTCAGGTTTGTGTTGAAAACTTATATATCAAGGTATATATTTGATAACGGTAACGATAACGCTGCGACGTTGTGAAAACGAAAATGTGAATAAAGTTTTGGTGAGATTATCATACTGTGTTTCTTGCCGCAACAGGTTTTCTGATAGCCATTCGCAGTAGAGCTCATTTCAAGGATGGTGTTGCATTTCCTTATCGTTGGATCACCATCCGAAATGTGTGGACTGCACAATAATTCTCTGAGCGCCGGTTCCCAAACAGACACTTGTACAGGGGTAGAAAGGTACATCACCAATCCCAGGACGAAGAGAGGCGCGTTTGGGGACTGTCCTGGTGACGATGAAATACCAGACGCTGATGCACTCATCGTAGCCATTGAATGTGAAGGCGCCATCAAGGTGGGATGCATCAGCAAGATGCTGGATGACAAGGCGTTGTAAATCAGCGAATAGATACTTGGCTTAGGACGATCGCCAGTGGCTCGCCAGTGGATCGCCAGTCACAGACAAAGCACTGATCCCCAGTAGATCCCCAGCTCCAATCATCAGCCAAGCAACACAGTCCCAAGGAGGATGCATCCCATGAAGGCGACGCCGGGGATACTTGTAGAGAGGCCATTAGGCGTGACAGATGACGATCTAAGACGAGGAGAAACGCTGGTGGAAGACAGTTCTGGTGACATTGACATCCACTTTCTACAGTTTGGACAATCAACGTGAAGATTACTTCTGCAGTTGCCAAGGTAACACGAAAATCAAATGGTTGTGCAAATAGGAGGCAACACACTTCGTCACTAATACATGCTGGAAAACATGATATATATATATATATATAAACATCACACGATGATAAATAATAGCCGTACCTGTCAATTGTGAGAAGTTAACAATGTATGGACAAAAAATGTTTCGCATGAAAAATGTTTTGTCACGACCAGGTGAACAAAAATACGCAAATGCATGCTGCAAAATGAAAGTTGTCCATATACTTTATTGAAATAGCTTTCTTGAAAGATATCTGTGACGTTTCATTCAGGTAGAATGTGAGTGAGTGAGTAAGTGAGTATGGTTTAACGCCGCTTTTAGCAATAATCTAGCAATATCACGACGGGGGACATCAGAAATGGGCTTCACACAATGTACCCATGTCGGGCATCAAACCCGGGTCTTCGGCGTGACGAGCGAACGCTTTACCCACTAGGCTACCCTACCGCCCCGGTAAAATGTATAATAAACCCAAAGTCAAAGGATATAATTCCCAACAGAAACCACCCCTGTATCACTTGTGTGATGAGAAGGGACGTAATGAATAACCCATTACAGAATAAGCAATGGTAACGAGGGCTCTGGATGTACACGGAGGCACGTTTTAGATTAAGCGATATGATCGAAGTGAAGAACAAAATTGAAATATGTTGTGCCAGGATAAGAAATATTATTTGGTATATTTATCTTTGGAAAAACGACTATAAAGATTTACTTGTCAGTGTATCAAGACCTACACCATATTATATAATTTGTCTATTTTTCTTAGTCCACATGAATGGGAGTGTAGCTAAGCTTACTTCAGTTAGTCAAGACTGTGGGCGGAAACATTCATATTTCTCCACAGACCAAATCTTGGATAATTCATTGTTAATAAGTCTACATTATCAATGTCTGATGCACATTGTAAAATACATGTGTATTATGTGAAAAAAATCTTTTCTAACTTCAGCTGATGAGCTGCAATTTCACAGCCTATGGTGCTTAGAACCAACCTTTACTAAAACGCCAACATTTTTGTAGATTTAGATTAGTAATATTATATTCAATATGAATCACGAGGCGTGTGAAAGGTTGAAATACCTTCTTCAGTTGAGGTGTTATCAAGTTTCTCCTTGATAAATGGTTGTGTGGAATCGAGGACAGCACAGAGTGTCCTGTAGCCTTCAACCCCTTTTTTCTTCAAAATCTCAAGGAACATTTCACATTGTCTCTCTGGTGCAGCTTGTCTACATCTGTCATAGTCTCCCTGTGTGAAGACACGGTTCTGGTACAAGGCATCCAGCACAGGGTCGACCTGAAGGTTCTCCTTTAGATATACGTGATTCCTTTGCAGGATAGCACTATGGGGAATATCCATCCTGAGATTGGATGCGTGCGTGATGGTATCTGTAAAATGAAAACAATACCAGGTATGATGGTTGTTTCACGTGGTGACCATTATTGAGTTTAAGTCAATATGTAAATAGCTACGCGATAAACTGCAATAAGAAATGAATAACGAAGCGTGGTTCATTTCACGATAAAACATTTTTCTATCATGAAGTCATTGCTGAAGATTCGAACATGCGCTCCCAACTTGATGACGTCATATATTGGACGACGTTCTGAAAGGGAAATGTTGTGTGGGCTGTTGCCCATAGATGTATCTGGGGTATGCAGATAAACGCAGTGGCCGAACGGTCGCATTCAAAAGCAGGGGAGATATGACAATCGGTATGAGGAGAAAATGTACGAATAGTCGACGTTAGGGTTGTGAGAATATGCGGGAAATACCAAACTTGACAAACCTGTTCTCAAAATGGACTTCTCCGACATTGCCGAGGTCGCTTTCTATTCTTATTATAAATAAGGTAAATGGTTTTAAATGTACATTTTAATAACATCCGTAAAAAGGCTGTACATAATTTTCATATATTATATACAAAATATACGACTCGTGGTCGTTGTATACCGTACAATAAAACAATGCAGGAAGAATAACCACTCTGTGCCCCTCGTGTCTTTAATTATTTTTTTAAATGTCGGTTATGTGTCTGCATTAAAACTTCAAAGGGCATGTGGCCAGCTGCAATAGACTTAGTAATCGGTTTCCAGAGGATATGTAAAGCAACAGTCATCGTATGTACTAAATACAGTTTGAAGACAGGGTCATAGTTTGAAAGAGGTCAGCACAAACAACCAGTATTAAAGATGTTAGAAGATGATGTGCACAACCTTCCAGAGACAAAACACCAGAAAACAGCTTACAAATTATTGGTCTAATTGAAATAAAACAATTTAAATGTTTAGCAATGAAATATACAATGAAATTGGGCACCACACATTGAGTTAAGTATTTGATAGATATAAGCTTCTCCGTACTTCAAAGTCTCAAATTAGAGAGTAAGTGAGTGAGTGAGTTTGATTTTACGCCGTTTTTAGCATTACTCCAGCAATATCAGGGCAGTGGACACAAGAAATGGGCTTCACACATTGTACCCATGTCGGGAATCGAACCCGGATCTTCGGTGTGATCAGCGAACACTTTAACCACTAGGCTACCCGACCGCCCCCTGAAGGAGTAAGTAAAACATTGCCTTGCTGTGTAATAATGAAAATACTTCGTACAACAAATTTGTTTCCGCCCAAACCTACGCTTAACCATCTTGAAACATGAAATCATTTCCACCTACAGCTTTCTTTATGCCCTTATCTACCCGAACACTAACACTGAACTCAATTTACATCTTAAACAGTTGTTTCTTATTGTCTATGAACACATTCAAGGCTTCAAACTCAAATGTCTACATGGGTCGTATGAATATTATATTTGCTGTGAATCCAAATATATGAGGCGTAAAATACACATGGAATATGACACAGGAGATTGACATCTATCGACAGTCAGAAATGGCCTCCGCCATGATCAACAGTGAAACAAAATTTGAACGTCAGTGAAGGTAGAGACTCAACACATGAAGCTCTACGGCATTAAACATACAATGTTGAAAATGTTAGTTATACCTCACCCGACTTCCAACACAATGTTATCAGTAGGCCAGTATCACGTGACAAAGCTAGAGTTCGTGCTATGTCCCTACATTCATGACATGCAGTGACAGGAATGGCGTCTGATGACATACTTAATATCGGTAGCTTTAAAATGTGTTGGTGGAATGAAATTAAGTCCATGATGTCACACAATACAAGTGTTTATCAAACTACTATAATCACGTATGTATGTGTCAAATAAATAAGAAGTCGCAATAGAAAACAACCTGATCACAAATCAGACATAATGAAAGAACCAATCAAGACGGATCTTCGTGTTCTCTATAATGCTACTTAAAGGGGGACATACAATGTGATTTAAATCCCGCCTTTTACCATATTTGTGTGCAATGTCCATTTAGCACTTAATGTGTGACGCACGATGACAATGTCTCAGATGTTTCACACGGTATTACAACATCTAAACCTAGACAGAAAATGGGTAGAATAGTCACCGATTAGACGTTACCCACAGATATATCTGATACACCCGAAGACGGCAGAAGGTGCACGTGGGCATTTTCAACAACTCTGTATCTGGAACATGTCGATATTGTTGTACAAATTACGCAACGCGCCAACCTTAATGTCTGCTGATAGTCGCGTGTGGCCATGCAGTGAACGAAACATGTAATCTGTATGAGAATATGTAAGGTAGCGTCGCCAACGTCATACTCGGCCTCAAGGTATGGATTTGTTAGAAAGTGTGAAGCCCGACTATGACACTATAATGACCCACTACAATACAATAACATGGAGTTCATACAACAGCCATACACAGAGAGGACTCTCTGAGATCATTTGTTAACACGGGCTGAAAATGAAATATATTTACGCAAGCGAGGCCTATCTAATAAAAACTCTTCGTTTGCTAAAGTTTCACTTTGATTCTTGTCAGCCTAAGCCAAATGTCTTACCCCAGAAGACGGCAAAAGGGACTTGTGGCTCAGGTCTTCAACACATCTCTATTCAGCTAGAATATAACTGTGCGCTACCTGTTCAAGGGAACGAGGGCCACGCCTCACTGTACACAATCTAAATGCATGTCACGTGGTAACAAACAAAGCCACCCTGTGCGAGAAAGTTGTCGCTATGTTGAGTAGTACATTACTGTGTCGCACTGACATTGACAGACTAGGATTTCCTTAGCAAGTGATGTTTCTAACATGCATGTTCTATCCAGAAACTTAAGGTACCACAACTGATACAATTAACTTATCCATAGCCTCAGAGAATAGAGTGAGTGGATTTGGTGTATTGCTGTTTTGAACTGTGTTTTCAGTTATATCACGGTGTGTCAGCTTAATATGGGAAGAAAGCCTGCATTGATGCAGGTCTTAGATGCTACAAATTGAAACCCAGGAGTAGGGCTATGTGCTGACAAGTCACGAATCATGATCGGAGCGATTCTGGGATTCGAACCTACGACCACGAGAATTGTTCAAATGCAATTCCCCCAAAAGTTGGTAGTGAGAAAAAGTGTTTCATGTTTCGTGGCAGAAGAGACCGCAATCACGAGAGCTTGTGTTCTGCATGATATAATTATCTTTATCTTAATATTATATAACTCTCTGATAAAACATACAGTGTGGGGCTTATGGATACATAGTGAAACTCGTTAGTGTACACACACGGTCACTCCTGAAAATCCACATTTCAGTAGATTGCTGCCAATGCGTAAATGTCTATGAAAAGAAAATATTTCTGTACCAAAGATTCGTTAATCTTGACATTTAAGATTTAGTGGGGAATTTTTTTTTATTTGCATCGGACATCATTTTAAGCCACTCTTTACGGGGAAATCTGAAGTTTCAGGAACCCGCGGCGTGAATTGCAGGTTAGAATTGAGGTAGGGCAGGCCAATTTTGTCCACCAGTCCGAACTTGCCCATACAGAAGGGATCGAGCTACAAGAACAAATTTTATATCAGTGGAAAGCTCCCGAAGAGATGAATTCATCCGATGTTTGTCCCAATATGCATTCACGGAAATTTGCCCACAAATAGGCTTAGAAATTGCATTACTGCAGGAAATGCTGGCATATTCACATGTTTTCCACAAATAGCACTTTATTTGTAATATGTACTTCAGCAGAAATATCACCCTGAAGTCATTTTGTTTAAACAATCTGCTTTTGTGTTGAAACGTTAGACTCTTTGGTAAATCAGTACATTTAGAGAAAATCCTATACACTTACAGATGAGGGAATGATATAAAGATTGCCAACAAATCATTTCATACAATAAAAATTCTTGAAAGGCCCGATGAGCAACAAACGAAAAACAATTAATTGTCCTCACATTACCTGTTTTGATATATAAATATATATTCGCTTGTCATAATTCATTTGTAATCCAGATCAAGTAAACCATTTTGTAGACATCGCATAGCAAATAATGACGATGAAAACCTGCGGATTCCTTCTCGAAATAGAATAAACTTTACTTGCTTGTTTGTTGTTTAAGGCCACAGCCTGGAAATAATCGTGTCTGGAGCCGACAATCCAGTGATTGGTGATATGTAAGGATCCACGCAGTCGGGATAAGATGACAACGGTCAACACGTTACCATCTCTTACAACAAGCAACAGTTCTAACGCGGAATATCCACGTGCTGACTGAATAGGTGAGGTGAGATGAAATTGGGTTTAACGTCGCGTCCAAGATTATTGCACTTATAAAGCGACGTGCATGCACGTGTGTATGTGGCTGCTTGTACTAGTCCGGACTGATGCCGATTTATAGTGCTAGCCCACTGAGATACCATGCTGCAGTTTAACATGAATACCCCACTCAGACACAGAATACTGACTCCGAGCCGACCAGTCCTGGTTTTAGCCCCTTAATGTCGAGCGCCAGACAGGGTGACAACAAGTACCATCTTTTAACGTCTTTTGGTATGACGCGGCCGGGGATCGAACCCCGGAACTTCCGCTCTCCGGGCGGACGCTCTACCACTAGACCACGGAGGCGGTCCTGACTGAATAGAGAGTGACATAGATCAGTATCATATATATTTGACTAAAACGTGATGCCTTGCAATAATGAAAATTCGTAAAGAGTTTAGACGTCAAATTAAACATCAAGACGAATTTTATAACTGTTTATGATCTACAACAAGACTCAAAATATACTGATTCCTGTCAAGCGGAAACATTTCTCTGGATATTAATTAAATGTATTACTCTGTTTTATCAAATAAGAACGAGAACGAGTGTGGTGGTTTATATTTACTGTCAACATTATATCACTACATTTTCATGAATGATTTACTTCATCATATTGATTTATTTAATCATGTAGATCTGTAATTACCACAGCAAAAAATCAAGCATGACTTAACACTTGAAAATAGGGCTAAACGGACCCGTGGTTAGTCACGTGATATACTGTTGAATGAAGAAAAAAATCACTACTATAACTCCATGGTAACCTACATATCGTTAAAAATGTTCGGATATCTTTGACTATAGCCACATTCCTCCTGACTATTATACGTTTTGAGTAATGATACAGCTTCAGTCGACTCTAGTGTATGCATGACCAAATCGTTTTATAGGTGTATTTAAATACTTTTTACAAGGGGTACGGTAAAACAATCCTGATCGGACATTTTGTACCCAACTCTTGAGACCTACAGTGGGTATCAGGGTAGGGTCGGGTAATAGGGGGTCGGGTACCCGGCTAGTACATTTGGACTCGTCCCAGCCGTACTTGAAAAACACTAATAATATCATCACAGATTATATATTTTCATGGCAAGGGGATAAATATTTTTGACGGGAGGCAAATCTCAGATATAATAGTGTAAATACAAGTATACACACACACAGTCGAGGAGGATATTACATTTGTATAAAGTGAAGTACAATGGAAAAGGAAACATATCATCGTGCGGGTTGTTCATCAAACAAATATGAATCCACCAACGAGGAAAACCTGTCAGAGGTGTACGACTGATTGTGAAGGTTTTCACTTCCGCATTCCTTTAATGTGTCGACTGCTACTTCGTGTCACACTGACCTGTATACCCTTTATACAACAATCACCTTGGAAACCACGCATGAAATAGATTAGAAAAGATGAGGATATTTCCGTCTGCGAGTTTGATAAATGACCCACTCATATGTTTTTCGCCGCTCTTTTGCCATTTCAGCCAAATGGTATCTGCTTCGCCGGGTAATCGAGACTGGTTATTCTCTGGCGTTGACGTTTGATATGTACTTGATAAAAGGGCGATCCCTGAAAATAAGAGGCTGGTCTGTGTGGTGTGTAGAGGACACCTCCTGTGGCCTTAAAGCCAAGCGCACGTTGGTATTGTTGGAGGGAGTGGGATAACAGCATGGGATAAGAGAGCACAAAGGGCTTCCCGTGTGCAACAGCACATGACGTTATCGACACCCCGATAAAGAGGTGTACGGTTTGATGAGGGTCCCAATTTGATTTAAACATATTTTATTGCGGAAAATCAAATGGATTAGGCACAAGTGACACACTTACGAGGCCTTCTATATACATTTCGTTCCATTGTGGTATGTGAATTCTGTGGTGCAGAATAAATGTACAGTGCATAGGGATCTAATGCACCCCGATTTGCAGTGCAGAGTAGCATCCTTTAGCCGTGTCATGGACCCGCTTGTCCACTATTTTCCCAGTTTCTGGTCCTTCATCGATCTGCAACATGTCGTCCTCGTGGCTTTTCATCCAAGTAACCATGACTTGCATGATTTGTGATTTCATCCTACATTTGGGGCCCGTTATCGCATGCATCACAGTTGCGACCATTAAATGTTGCAGAAACCAACGGTCATGGGTTCAAATCCCACATTCGCCCTGATTATGTTTCCAGGTTTGTCAGCACCATATCCTTGATCCTTGGGTTGCAGTTTCGGTTTTCCAGGGAACTGCAATACTGGTCGAAGCGGTGTTAAACTAACTCACTCAACCGCTTATCTTAAATGGAGCTGACACGCCGTTATGCACCTTAAATATAATCGTGATACCAAATCGATTCACTTATGGATAAAACAGCTACTCAAGTACTAAATACAATGACTGATCCCATGCAAACACTCTTCAAATGAGTGAGTGAGTGATAGAGTATGGTTTTACGCCGTTTTTAGCAATATTCCAGCAATATCACGGCGGGGGACACCAGAAATGGGCTTCACACATTGTACCCATGTCGGGAATCGAGCCCGGGTCTTCGGCGTGACAAGCGAACGCTTTAACCACCAGGCTACCCGACCGCACCCTCTTCGAATGTCACTTAGGAGTCCAGACAGAGAGTTAGGTTTCCGCTTCTGAATGCAAGATTACACACCAGACATCAGTTTTATACTTTGTTTTGACGAATTGTAAAACATTACTATATTGTCTACTAAAGGACAAGGCGGCATGGGTGGCCCAGTCGTCTAATGCCTCGCGATTTGCTGTGTAGAGATGCGTCCCTTGGGCATGCCAGAAACCTATGATTGTAGGTTCGAATCCCTGTTCGCCCCGATTATGTTTCTAGGTTTGTACCCTATCCCTATCGTGCTCGTAGGTTTTACCGAAGTGGTAAACGTCTGAGACCAGCATCACTTCGGTCTTTCCTCCCACATTAAGCTGACACGCCGTGATATAACTGGAATACTGTTAAAAGCGGCGTTAAACCCATCTCACTCACTCACTAACTCAAGTCACAATAAGATTTGAATGACGTCAACAATGCCATCCGGATGACGAAAATAATACACTGTTATCTCGTGACATGATATGACCCTAGGGCACATTTGATTTTTATGAATCCCCATAGGTTTGCCCTCGTAGGTAATAAATACATTTACGCATCTGTTTACATTTTATTTACATCACTGGGATATGACATGATAAAATAATGATAGTAAATAAATACGTACATTTATCAACATACAGAACACTCGACCAGTCGACTTGGCACCAGCGTGTGCTGAATACATGTTGTTCTCAAAAGAGGAATTGTGGCATTATCGACATAATTTATCCACCTGGTTAAACCTGGTCATTTACAAGAGGATGGACACCTTGAAGTTCGAGACAACGGG